TCAAGTGATTGTCACCTCTTTTGCGGAATCCGCCCTAGTTAAACTTGAAAATATGACCCGATTGTGCTGCAAAATGAGAGCTAGCATCTTTATGCCTCACTGTTGCTGCGTGCTTAGCCATTCGCGTCTGGAGTAATCTCCCAGTTTCACCGAGGTAGTTCTTTTTTCCAAAGCTGCAGTGGATTCGGTGAACGACTCCAGACTTTTTTGTCCTAACACCTAGTATTTCGGCCTCATGACCCGGGAATTAATAGTTGCCTCCCACCTGTGTGCAACCCCACCTTCAAGTGGACTGACGGCTTCCGCGACGTTCTTCGAATGCGGAAAAGCTGTCAGGTTGAAGCTGACTCAACGCGATCCGTGCCGTATTTTACCAGTTTTATAGTATAATCCCAAGATGATTCAGACACTCCGGGATGTCGGCTTTAAAATGTATATTTTCTCCGCCGTCGGAAAAGAAACCCACAGTCGGTATTCAATGCTTGCTTAATTTTTTTTCTATTGATTCTCGAAGCCCTTGAGCATATCATTTGTACTTACTTCGTAGCACAGGAGTAGATAATAGCCTTCGAATTTTAGAAAGTTTGTACACTCCAGAAATATTGTGAGCTCGATTTGCCCTTGCATTTGAGTTTGGGGTCTACAGGATATAGGCAGTCTACATTCCATTTTAAGGAAAAATTTCCTCAATCTATGCCATTAGAACGATAATATACAGCACTCACAAAATTTTGCAATAGATACTGCCTAGCAGAAGAAGAAGATGAGATCACTGGTATAATAATATATTTTCCTGATGTTTCGGAATCTGCCAAGAATCCTTTATCATAGGTAACTGTAGAATGTTGTGAGACATGCACAGATTGACCCATTACTTCTTCTGACCCCAATCTGTGTACGTCTCACACCATTCTACGGTTACCTATGAATAAGGATTCTCGACAGAATCCGAAAATAAAATTCTTGTTCCAGTGACCGCCTCTTCTTCTACTAAACTGCTTCCTGGAACTCGCATATTCGCTTCTGTCGGCGATGTTGCCTATGTTCTATACTTCAGAGGAGATAGGAATAACTGTGCATATACGATACTACTTAAATGAAAACTTTATCTTCTCAAAAAAATATCATAATTAGAACCGTCATTAAAACGAAATTTAAGGAAGATATAATTCATCACCAAATGGTCACGAGGGGGGATAATTTTTTGCTCAACCCTCCCATAAAATATAAGAAAATTTTAGGAACATAGGAAATTAATTTAAAAAAATTCCCACTTTTTAAGTACCCATGCGTCACTGCATGGATTTTTTTTCAGGTGACCACAAAGGAGTCTACTGAAAAGCCGACATCCTGATATATCTTACAGATCGTGCGATTTTGCCGCCCGATTATCGAGCTTACGTCCACACTTAAGAATGTACTTTCTAATTGAAAAATTATTTTAGAATTTCGATTGAAATCTCATGAAGTTGGTCACCGAATGCTACTACTATCACTGGCAGCCCGTTGTAAGTTTAAAAATATTGCGCAGTTATCTTGCTGTAAATAATGGATTCCAGCTCAAATATTCAAATAAATTTTCGTATTGTACCTGTAGATTGCAATTTTGACTACTTAACGCCAAGGTAGCAATTAATTTTCGCATTGATACACATCGGATTCCACTGCAGACTACCGCCTACTAACTACCGCACAGTATTCCATAACTTGATAAATCAATGTGTTCCCAAACATCAACCATTTGGCAGCAATGCCACCCTGACTCTGCGCATAAGCGCCTGACAGTCTGGCGCACGAACTGCCAATTAAAACGCACGTAGCGCATACGAGATTATACAAAACCCACACACACACACCGAGGAGCTTTTGCCATGCACTCATTTCTGATTTAGTAATGTCTGTCGTCGTGAGACGAAAGGTGATTGTCGTAGGCGATGCCAACTGCGGCAAGGCTGGCCTCTTGAGAGTCTTTGTCCACGGCTGCTTCCCCGAAGTCAGTACTGGTATGTCCTTTGAGGAATGTCATACCAGTCTAAACGTGGGTACCGGAGAGGTAGGCCCGAGTACACACACTCCAGCTCTAGCTTATGCTTCTAAGTCTACCTGACGCTATGGAACACGTCGGGCCAAGAGGACTATCACAATCTGCGGCCTGTCTCCTACCTGGATGCCGATGTCTGTATCGTCTGCTTTTCCATTGGCAGCCACGATTCTCTGGAGTCGGCGTCAGAGAGATGGGAAAAAGAGGTGAGACTTGTAATTTTGTTGCGCCAACATGGAATGTACTTTCCTGTTTCGAGAACTCTCTGTAGTTAGGCTCGCAGGCAAACCCTTTTCCCCTGGAAAGGTTCTTGCACAAGGCTTTCTAGCGGCTGTCAGGACGATTCCCTACCTTTCTGGGAAGTTACGTTTATCCTCGTGCAGTGCACCCAAGATATTTCAGATGTGAATTCATTTAAGGAAAAACCCAGGTTGGCCGGCAGATATTTAAATTGTAATATCTGCACATAAAATGGGTTACTCGAATGCCAAGCATGAAACGTACCGGCGGCCCCAGAACA